GTTTCCGTACCCGTATGTACCTCCACAAATGTCCCCACTGACAAGACCCCCAACCACTCATGTCAATAATGACAAAACCTCCCGTACATTGAATTGTGAGACCTCGATCTTCCCTGTATACCTCTAACATTCATCCAAACCCTAACCATTTTGGCCCAACTACTAATTGTTTAAATAATGAGTCTATATATATATTTGGAATTCAAACGACCATCTACAGTATTAAGTTGTCCCATTCCTGTGAGAATTACCAACAGAAATGTTACCAAACTCCAAGTTAACATAGTACTAAGCAAGCGAACACTGCAAATCTTACGAATGTCAAACTTAGGTACTAATAGGTACTTGCACAATGAAATATGACTTTGGTCCTAGCGTATTGCTTGCGAATACCATGTCTCTTTTACCTAAAATTGACGAAGTTCGTTGTGTTATCCAAGAGGAGAATCCTGATCTGGCCTGCTTCACCGAAACATGGCTACACGATTCAATTATCAACGATCATCTCCTTGTCCCTGGATATAATTTTACCTTTAAAAACCGTGTCTCCCAATCACACGGGGGCGTGTGTCTATACGTCAGGTCCACAATCCCTTGTAAACGATTACCTGAATTGGAAGAACCTGAAATGGAGGTGCTATGGTCTCATATTAGGCCTGCAAGATTGCCTCGTGGTACTCCTTGTATTATCGTGGGTATCATATATCACCCACCTAGTTCTGACGACAAAGTCACGCTACGTTACTTAACAACATCACTCATCTCGTAGAAAGCCTCTACCCTGGATGTGGCATTCTCCTGCCTGGCAATTTTAACCAACTGAAGATTCGCCGCCTCTTAACTCAATTCAAAATGAAACAATTAGTCTACACCCCTACTAGAGGCAACAACATCTTGGACTCATAATCACCAACATGTACCAGATTTATGATCACAATTCTGTTCACTCCATCCCTCCTTTCGGTCTCTCGGACCACAATGGTGTCCTTCTTCGTCCTAAAGCGCGGTACCCTAACTCCAACTCTAGCAGGAAAACCCTAATGAGACGCGACACTACACACGCGTTTTGTCACTATGTATTGTTTATGTCACGTCTACAATCACACCCGAACATCACTACGTCCTAGCCATTCACCCGAGCAGTGAAACACAAAGAAATCTTGTTTATCGGAACAGTGAAAGAAAGAAATCTCGCTTGTCAGAACAGTGGAACTAAAAAATACTTCGAAGAGATGCCGCATACTATTAATAAACGTTATTACCTGCAAACTATACTGAAAAAAACTATTATTAACATTTTTCACCGACATTGATATATTATACCAACGTTCCAATTTGCTATGGGATTGGAATATCTGCTTTAAGTATCTTTCTTTGCTGATCCAGTTGACGCCATGTACGCTACAGCGTAGTTATTTCTTGTCACCGATATCGCTTTTGTCCCGCTATATTTTTCGCTGTCAAAACAAAGATGGCTCAATGCTATGCGGGCTAAAAATATAAACAACTACATAACCTGGGAGTCGTGTGGAAATCTAAGAAAACATTACTATGATTTTCTATGGGGAAACATTACTATGATTTTCTATGGGGAAACATTACTATGGGGGGGGGGGGG